GCTGACTCCTTTTCAATAGAAATGGGATAAGGTTCTCCCTCCCCTCCTAGTAGTAGTTGGGACAACCAGCTTAAGTAGTTTCGGTGATAGGGGGTTAAAGGGGCATAGACCCACGTTAGGCGCTCTCGTCACCCCAAGAAGAAGATCAAGGGAATCTGTACCATCAGGCTTCAAATCTGAGGTTGAGGTCTTGTTATGAATTTATCGCTAACATAATTAATATACAAGACACTTGAAAAAATAATCTAGAATATTCAAGATTGAAGGAATATCTCTAGAATTATTGTGAGCGACAGATTGCTCATAAACACTATCCAACATCGTTTGTATCTAAAAATGGAATGCCAGAGAACAAAATAGAATTGGTTCCTACTATATTAGCTTTATTTGTTATATACACAGTAATCGTTAACTTGTACAATATTCTTAATTTCTTTTACTTTCACATTATTTGATGACATAAAGCATGTACAGGAAAGATGTTGAAAAATAAAATGTGGTATATATAGAGAATATCCATTACAACTTTCACCTCTTAACATATACTATAATACTAGTAACAATTTGAGGACTTGGAAAATTGGAAAGTCTTTGGACTGATTAGACGGTAGCAAAGACTTGTTGTATATTTGATCTTAACCAATTTTGTCAACTCTTTGGGCCCACATAACCTAAAATGATAACAGCCAATTAATACGTCTCTTTGTTTTTGCTAATTTGATCATTGATTTTTCCTTTTTTTTTCCCAATCAAGAAAGTATATTGTATCTTTAAATTAATTGTTTGACTGTAGAGTACGGACTGGTGTCAATAAAATGTGATGTGTATAGTTACGGGATCATGTTGCTAGAAATGTTTACTAGGAGAAAGCCTAGTGATTAGTTTGAGGGAGATGTTAGCTTCAAGCAATGGGTGAGTTATTCCAGAGGCAGTAATGGACGTTGTGGATTCCAACTTGGTTACACCAACGGATAATCACTTACAGAAGGAGTTGGATATTGTGGCATGCATTAGATTGTTGTGGTGAATCTTCGACAAGGACAAACATGAAAGATGTTGTAGGAATGCTACAGAAGATGAAGATTCAACTTCTTGATCATGAAAGTGGCATTATATTTAATTATTTATGATTTCACAAAGGGCAATAGTAAAAATTACGGTTTAAATTATGTACGTCCTTTAATATTTTTCTTAATATATGTGCATTGTCTCACAAATTTAGTTAGAATAGGAGGAGTTCTAATAATACTTGAATGAAATATTTTTTTCTAAAAAGTTATGCTTATTTTTCGTATTAAATGACGCCTCTCAGCGAACATTATAAAGAAAGTTGGGCCCACAAGCTTCAAATTAAGAGTATAAATCTTCTAGGGACATATGGGTCATTATGTTAATGTTGGCTGGATTTGTTTGTCTAACAAGGAAAAGGTACAAGTAGGGGTGTACATGACCGGGTTGGTTCGGGTTTTTCAAATATCAAACCAAACCATTTGTGTAAAAATTTTAAATTTATAAACCAAACCAAACTAATAAAATTCGAATTTTTTTGAGTTTTTCAACCTCGGGTTGGTTTGGGTTTTTCAAATACCAAACCAAACCATTTTGTCGAATTTTTAAATTTATAAATCAAACCAAACTAATAAACCTCGGATTTTTTAAGATTTTTGGATTTTTTCGGTAAAGTTTGCATACAAACATATAATTAACTTGTGCTCCAAATATTTCTTTAGTCCAACCAAAACACAAGTGTCTAAGGTGTTTCTTAAGAAAATAACACAGATTATGAGATGAATACTGATCACACTAAAATATTCAATAAAAATAATAATGAAATCATCATATAAAATAAATATTGCAAAGTCATAATGAAAATGATCATAATTTAAAAGTACTAAATCATGCTAAAAATAAATTTAACAAGTATTAGTTACATTACTAAATATTCAAGGAAAATTAAAATTAGATTATGTATTTTAATTGTCTAAATCACTGTAAAACTAAAGAACAAATATTCAATCTTATTGTCATTCTTAGTGTTGAATTGATTTTCTTTTTGTCTATTAGGATTGATTTGATTTTGATTTAAGTTTTATTATAATTATCAATATCTATGAACTATAATCTTTTATTGGACCATTCCGAATTCTAAGTTTTAAACTTGAAATAATATATTAAAAGATAAAAACTATGAAATAGTATAAGAATTTTTTTAAAATTATATCAAAGTAAATATTTTTGTGTATAAAATAAAATTTTAAAATTACATATATAATGTCGGGCTGGTTTGGTCTCGGGTTATTTTTTTTTAGTTAAAACCAAACCAACCCAGATATAGTCGGGTTTTTTTTTTCCAATACCAAACCAAGTCAAACCAAACCACTAGTCGGGTTTTTTTTCCGGTTTGACTCGATTTGCGGTTTGATTCGGTTTTCGGTTCGATTTTGTACACCCCTAGGTACAAGTATAAAGAAGCAAAATACAAATAGTTTGAAGAATAAAACATGAAAAAAATACTGAAAATACCCTTGTCATACAACCAGGCATGTTGACGAAGACATGCGTGCTTGTAGACTCTTCTAATATGTAGTAAAGTAATAATAACATAAAAGTGTAGCAAATTACAAAGTTAATAACTATAGAATTAACTATATATATGAGTGCGGGAATTATAATTTTCTACAACTATACCAAAATAATAAAAGTAGTTCACAAATTTATATCAATTGTTGGAATTTATAAAGAACTTCAATATATTGAATTGATAAGAGAATATGAAAGGAATTCCGAAGCATTTACCAATCACTTACTCATCCACCAATTAATGACTGTCCATTTACCTCATTCATTGTAATTTAATTTTATCATTAATTAATTGGAAGATAAGTTTAATCTTTAATACAATAATATCATAAGTAATATTTAAGTGAAGGGTAAAATTATCGTTTATTATTTGATGGGCAAATTGGTCCTTCAATTTTGTATTCCCTATGTCCCTAAATACTTGTCCACTTTTCCTTTTATAGTTGTCCTTAATTACTTGTCCATTTTGACAAATCAAGAAAGGACAAAATAATTTTGCCTATTATACCCTCAATTAACTACTTTGAAAAATGTATAATTTCTTGAAAATCTTAAATTTTCAATCCATCCACTTGATAATTAATTGGGGTAAAATGGTAAACTCACCATGTCAATAATTACTTTCTTAATAGGTGTGTCAATTTAAAAATGGTCAAGTAATTAGGGATAGAAGGAGTACTTTGGAGCATCTCACTTTTAATAAACTAGTGTCTGGACACGTGTTGACCCCGAATCCCAACTCGAGACCCAATATTCGTACTGGGACCTGACCCCGACATCCAAACCGAGATAAGACCCCAACGATTGATCCGGAGTCCGACCCCGAGCCCTGACCCCAACTCCCTCGAGACCTGACATTCAAACTAGAATCCGACCCCAAGTCGGGACCTAACCCCGATTCCCGACCCAAGACTTGACATTCAAAAATTGGGACCCGACCTCGACCTCATACAGAGACACACGATCTAAACTGTTGGAAAACATTTAAGCTAAACAAACTTGAGAAAATTGGAAACTTCATACCAAACACACCCATGTGGTAGAATATTAACATTTTTTTTTCTACCTCCTTTTTCCTTTTTATCATCCTCAACAAATTAAGTGAAAACAACAAGAAGAAGACAATGGAAAGTTTTGTGATAAGATTTATCCGTCGAACAAGACTAGTGAATAATTTAACATGATATAGCACCAATTATTATTGACGACATGAGTCATATTTATGCCCCACATAACTTGGAAAACTTATCTAATTTAAAATGAGTGGTTTCAACACTTGGATATCAAACTCACAACAACCAATAAAAGACATATTTTTTTTGTTTCATTGAAACAATAATTTAGTTGCATTAATGCTGATATCTTTTTCCTTTTCCCCTTTTAAAAAAGCTTCAAAAGAAAAGTCTCCTAAATACAAGGGTAATATAATAGTCATACCATTTTCCTACAAATATGGAGAAGGCCTTGAGATCTTCTCTTAACATTACTCTTGTTCCTTCACTATGTTATGCCTAGTTCAGCCATGATTCGTACCAACGTGTCTACGGATCAATTAACTCTTCTCTCTTTGAAATCACAAATTAATTCCGACCCTTTTTATTACTTGGATGAAAGTTGGTCTCCTACTACTTATGTTTGTCATTGGGTAGGAGTAACTTGTGACTATCGTTATCAGCGAGTGAAGTCCTTGAATCTTTTCAACATGACTCTTACAGGCACGATTCCCCGCGATTTTGGAAACCTCACATTTCTTGTTTCTCTTGACTTGGGAAGTAACAATTTCCATGGAAATTTGCCCCAAGAAATGGTACGCTTACGTCGGCTTAAGTTTCTTGATTTAAGTTTGAACAAATTCAGTGGGGAGGTTCCTTCTTGGTTTGGGTTTTTAAAACAACTTCAAGTTTTAAATCTTAGATATAATAGTTTCACTGGTTCAGTCCCCACTTCATATTTTAATATTTCAAAGCTTGAAAATTTGGATTTGACTTTCAATTCCTTAGTGGGTCAAATCCCAAAGGAGATTGCAAGTGTTGAAAACCTGAGATATTTAAGCTTGTATGGAAACAATCTCATAGGGACTATTCCTCCAGCAATATCAAATGCCTCAAGGTTGGAGATTCTAGATTTATCTGCCAATTTACTTCAAGGGAACATTCCAGAAGGGATTGGCAATCTTCACAACCTGAACTGGTTGTCCATGGAACAAAATCAGCTTACGGGTTCTATACCATTCACAATATTCAATATTTCTAGATTTGAAGTCATTAGATTTTCAGATAATAGCCTATCAGGAGATCTTCCCAATGGTTTATGCAATGATCTTCCAATACTCAAAGATCTTTATCTATCCAAAAACAAGCTTCATGGTCATATGCCTACAAGCTTGTCAAATTATTCACAACTTCAAATATTGTCTTTATTTTTGATGGTCGAATACATAGTGAAATTGGAAGATTGAGTAATCTGCAGTTCTTGTATCTCAGATATAACCATTTCACAGGTATATATGTTTTATCTTATGAATGCTAGTACTATTGTATCTAATTACCTCACTTATTTTTTATTTCACATTAAATGCAGGGATAATTCCACAAGAAATCGGAAATCTTGTTAATTTGATGGAATTAGACATGGGGGGAAACCAGATTACCGACTCTATCCCGATCTCCATATTCAATATCTCATTGCTGCAATCATTGATACTGTGGGGCAACAATCTTAGTGGATTCTTACCAAGGGAGATTGGCAACTTAACCAAGATGCAATTTTTATATCTTAACGACAATAGGCTAACTAGTACGTATTCAAAGTGATAGCAAAAGGTACAACTTATACTGTATTGAACTAAATAGTTAATTAAACTCACTGTTTTCGATCTTTCAAAATGTGTTGCCAGGTGAAATACCCAACGAGATAAGCAATCTCGTTGAGTTGGAGGTATTTGATGTTGGGTTTAATAGTTTTAGTGGTTCACTTCCAATGGAGATATTCAACATATCACGACTGAGAACAATTCAACTTTCAGCCAACATCTATCAGGAACTCTACCACCAAACATAGGTTCTACCTTACCCAACATTGAACAGCTTTATATGGGTCGCTTAACCAATCTTGTTGGAACTATTCCTCATTCTATCTCCAATTGTTCAAAGCTTCCTGATCTAGAGCTTTCACAAAACAAACTCAGTGGCTTAATACCCCAATTCTCTTGGATATTTGACTCATCTAAACTTCCTAAACTTGCAGAGAAACAATTTAAATAGTGATTCATTGTTAAGCCTCCTCACTTCCTTAACCAATTGCAGAAATTTAACATCTCTTTATCTAACTTTGAACCCTCTAAATGGCATGCTTCTGGTCTCCGTAGGGAACTTCTCCAAATCTCTTGTAAAGTTTTATGCCGCTGCTTGCAAGATTAACGGCCAGATTCCAAATGAAGTTGGAAACTTAAGCAGCTTATTTGACCTTGACCTTTCTGATAATAACTTGATTGGATCAATTCCTATATCAACTCATAACTTGAGAAACCTTCAACGCTTGTACTTGAACATCAACAAACTTACAGGATTTATTGGAGATCATATATGTAAATTGCAGCATTTGGGTGAA